GAGCCCGAGCTAACCCACTCCTTCGACAAAGTCTGGATCTGCAGCCACGCTCTCTTTGAGCTCAGCAAGTACCTGATCTACAAGCTCCTGACCCTGGTCCTTGCCATACCGCTGGCCCTGGTCGTGGGGATCGTCTTCGCGGTGCTCAGCTGTCTGCACATCTGGTAAGTGCGTTCTGTTGGTCGTTGGTGCGTGGGCTCTGCAGACAGCTCGGCCGAACTCTCCTCTGGAGCGTTAGTGCCGAACTGTTGGTCGCTATCTTTACCAACGGTAGTCAGATCAACTTACATTATCTGCTTTATTTTTAAAGGGAGAGCAATGAAAACAATGTTTTCTCTGTGATTCAGTTCCCTGCCTTGCATTTACCAGCAGCCTGTCCTGTCTGGGTAAGCTCATTCGGGCAGACAGTCTGTTTTACCATTTGCATGGCACCTACTGCAATGCATTCCAGCCTCAGCTGGCCTCTGGAGTAATAATAATGATTGCTTGTGGTGTTTTGTTGTTTGTGTGGTTGGGGTTTTTTTAACCTGGTTGTTAAGTTGTTAAAATGTGTATTTGAAATGAAAGACCTGGGCAGAAGTATTACTTACACCTGACACTTTCTCAGTGCGGTTACCTCTTTCATTTTTTTCCTCACAGACTGAAGAAAGCTTTTGAGGGCCCAACTCGCTCTTTCTTTGCTACATGCCACAAAATCTGCTGTCACTGCCTTGTATCTGGTACATGGCCATCTCTAGGTGCAGTGCCCCAAAGCACTTCCACCTAAGCAAAGAACCCCAGCTGAGCTCAGGAAAGCTTCTGGCCATGGCCCAGGTTCACAGGCAAATACAGTAGTCCTCCAAGTCACAGCAAACCTGGTGTACTTGAAAGAGAATATACTGGGAAAATAGCAGGGAAGAGTACCTTGAGACCAGAAGGGCAGATGATTGTGGAGAAGGAAGACAGGGAAAAGAATGAGGTTGAGGAAAGAATTGAGAATCCAGCAGGCTGCGGAGGAAGGGATGAATGGAGATTATGAACATAATTACTGCAAACCAGGATTTTCTGTATACATGGGTTTTGGGCAGTCTCGTTTGACTTGGGTAACACTGGAATCATGAAGTTGTTAAGGAAAGCAAAATATAATCCAGAACTGGAAAACAAACTCAAAGCAACAGGAATACATTGGTGGTCTGAACGCGTGGTTACAATGTTTTGGGCACAGATTTCAGTTTTCAGAAGTGGAATGGAAGTTTGGTTGACGACATTGTGATGAGACACTTCAAAACCTGATTAACTTGAATTTTGGACCATAAAGTTTGCATGATATCTAAAGGAGTTGCAATGTATTTTAAAGCTGCCCACCTGCTACTCCCCAAATTATGATGAAGACTGTAGAGTGCGCACAGAGACGTTTTAGGTCCGTCAGCTGTCACTGTGCTGTACTGTACCATGTTACTGCAAAAGGGTACAGTGGGCATGTAGACTTCCAGTAGTGGAATAGCTATGGGAGAATTCCTTGATGCCCGATTTTTTAAGACTCTAGTGTGCTTCAGAATGATCTTGTATCTGGATTTCACAGCCTGGATATGCAGGCATGAGTTTCACTGCACCAGGACTCAGAGGTCAGTTTCTATTTATTGAAGTCGTCCCTAGTGACTCTTAGGAACTGTGGGTTCTCAGTACATCTGAAATAGGACTGTCTGAATGTGGCACTTGATTTTGAAAAGTTTCCATTGAACAGTCATGAACACACATGATTCCCCAACAACTAATTTTCCTTCCCTATGTTCATTGTCAATACAGAAGTGATCATTCATTTTGATCTTCCTTGCACCTGGGATGGGTGTGAAAGAATCACGTAACTTGGTAGCGCTATCTGCACCCCCTTGGACCCCATCCAGTGCTACCATCCAAAGCCAGCACTGTCTCATCTTCCCACAGCCACAAGCTGGATTTGTTCCAACACAAAGGTGGAACACGCTGAGACTGAGTTAACTTCTCTGCAGCTCTCCATGTTCCAGATTTCTTTGGAGTAAGGAGTTCAGTGTTTCTGCATTTGAGAGGGTAGCGTAGGAGCAGCAGACATCAGAGGCATTAGTCAGTGGAGACATAGGGACCCTAAACACATGGTATTTGGTCTGAAAAAAATAGTAACTCCTGGTTTTGTGGGTGCAAGGAATGGAATGCCATTATAATTCTGTCTTCAGCTGTTGAAACGTCATGGGAAAGCCCTGGGCACACCTCCCACATGGCTGCCTGCAGGAGGGCTTATCAGAGTCTCTGTGCCTCGCTTTCATCATCCAAACCAGTGAGACGATGATGTTGATCTGTTGTAGGGGAGCCTTTCCTGAGGCTAAATTTGAAGGTGTTTCAACAACTTTTGGAAGTGCTCAGGCACAAAGCTCTGTTGATTGTCACACATGTTGTTGCAGTTCTGTCAGCACGCTAAAAATCCACAAAAGTCTGATTCAGCATTCCTAATGCATCAAGGGCACCTCATGAGTTGCACCCCTCAAACCCAATGGTAGGTATTGTCTTTCACCAGCAAAAAGATTGGTAACAGAGGAAGCAAACATGTGAGGCTTCATTGAAAGCAACAAGAAAGCTAAGAAGTATGTAATAATACACTTTAATTTTGCCTATAAAGAAGGAACATATTTGGTTCTGTTCTCAAACTAGCTGCTTGACCTAGAGGCCAGTTTTACACTACCTGGTAAAAGATACTGATGGACTGAAACTGCCAGCTAGCAGGTTGGTGACCTACATACAAGCTAGTTCAAGGAAGACTACTTCACATTTCTTCTCCTATACTGATGGCTGTCATTCTCACCACAGATTGCACAAGTTGTCAAGACTGAGTTTTAACATCTTTCTGTGAATATCTGAGCAAGCTTTTAAACATGTCCTTAGGCTGAGGCTGTTAAGGTTATTGATTTTTGAACATGAGCAGAACACTGCTGGTTTTCCAGGCAGCACATGCAAAATCATGATCTCTATTATAGATCAGGGACTGATTCTTGTTCCGAGCCACATGTATGCCACCTCTTGGAAATTAACACTTGAATCTCATATATGCTTTGTTGTAGTCTTGTCTGAATAGTGTTCTGGTGTGCTGTATATTCATACTGAGATTCGGTGCTTCATCTGAGGATCCATAACTTGGGTCTTCAGTCTGAGATGGGCTCTAAAGCACAAGGACTCGGCCAGCTTTATGCTCCTGTCATCAGCCAGAGTGGTAGGTACTCAGAGCTCACTTGGCTTGGGCTTCCATTCACAGTGCTAAGATGTAGCCAGGGACTTATATGCAGAGAAGTAGATATGGACATGCATCATCTCTTACCTCTTTATCCACAACTCCATTTACACAACTTATTGCTAGCATACTCAATCCCCAAACCATCTGTCGACTGGCTGTCTGAAATGAAAAGAAATTACAGTACAGCTATGCCATGAAGACCCACCTTATGATCTGGTGTTGCCTTGATGCCTCTTCATTCATGTCCAGTATATATCCCTTGGCTTTTGACGAGGAAGTAGGCGGATGTTGTCTTGCTTCCTTTCTGGTTTTATCTTTTCCAGTCTATCCAGGTCCTAGGATATATAATGTTTGGTGTTAATACTCTTCATATACTATGTATGGGTCCTGGAAGACTTGGGTGGTTATCTCTTGGCTCATTCCCAAGGGTTAATGGGACTCTACATGAAGCTGTGCAACTGTTACCTAATATTTAGCCATCCATTCACAATGCTTGCTTGTATTGTAGAGCCACACGAGACTTTTAATTCAAAGTCATGATGTAGTGCATGTACAAACTTGGAATTAGGTAATTTAACCACTGAGTGGTATAATATTTGAAAAATAGTATTAAGACATGTCTGAGGTTCACAGAACAAGATGAGATTCTTCACTTTGAAACAGGAATCTGAATTGGTACTGAATCATTCCTCCAAACACATTGCTCAAGTCTGTGAAAAGTTGAGCTGCTTCCCAAGAAACTGAAAATGCCCTTATGAGAGAGTTAAATCATGCTCTGCCATTTCCAAGAGGCATTTGGTTCTTCACAGTGTTCCCTCAGGGATTAGCAGAAAAAAAGTAATGCGAGCAAAAGTGAAGAAGGTTGATGGGTATAACTTCGTAGATGTCATGCCTTGAACAGACAGAAGAGAATATAGGATAGGATGGAACAAACAGGGTAATTTGGTCTTTTCAGTTCAACAGTTCCCAAATGAGGTGATTCCTTCTACTTAGGGAAAGGATGGGTATTTTATGTTAGATATATGCATAGCCAGATTCAATGAGAGGTCATATAGGTAGCTGAAATACCTTGGCTGTGCTTCAGCTTAGATACCGAATTCAGCATAGCTTTGATTTTCTTCCCAGTGCTGTACCAAGTGGTAACACCGGTAGTACCAATAGTGCAGTAAATGTTGATATGCCAACTTTACTTCCACTCTTGGACATTACTCAAGCAAGCAGTTACTGTCTCTGTGAATACAAGTGCAGCCTGGGGTAAACCCACAGCATTGTGAGTAAAGGACGTATATGTTAATGTTTATTTGGTAGGTCACAAAAACAAATACATAGCTTCTAATGGCGCTTGGTTATTTATTTTTTAAGTGTGCCTGGTCACCCCATGGAAGGCACATCGCACCCTCTGATGATTTGGAAATGCCACACAGTAGGATAACATATCCTACACAGAACAGGATGCGTACTTATATACATGTAGCTACATGTATAGACACAGTCACATATTGTAAACATTAGAAAATACTTTTTTAGTGCTCTCTTGAGTACAAAGGATTTTCTTCTTTGAGGAAAGGTGTTTGAGTAATTGCTATCTAAGTAGACTGACTTTTATTTTAAAATTGAAGGTTACTTACATTAATTAGCTTTGGTTGCCAGCATGTTTCACCTATGGAGACACTTTACATATTGCTTTTTTCACATGTATTCACCATAAAATTGAATAGAAAATGTTAAAAGATTATAAAACATTGCCAGAACATTTTTTTAAAATTTATTGTATTTAACATTATCAAGAGAATTTGAGTTCTGGTACAGTGTGAATGATGTCTACAGTAGTTGCAAGTAATATGATCACTGCTTTGCCATCCTTCCCTAATGACATCCGGGTGAGTCACTACATCCTTCTGAGAAACTTTTGCATAGTGTGATTTTTGTTTAGTTTGTATGTTGTGTGATCCTATTGACAGTGGCTCCAATAGAAATGTAAGCTTTTCTGCTTCTCTGCAATTCAGTTCGATTTAAAAAAAAAAAATGCAGGCCAAATAATTAATTTTAGATGGGAGCAAAGGAGCAATGACATAGCCTTTATAAACTAACTGAAATGGAAAAGGGGTGAGGTCAACACAAGCTGAGTAGCCATTTCTGGTGTTTTCCCTGTGTTGCTTGGAGAAATACCAGGGTTTTTCTCCTTTGCATTACTGATGTTTATCAACTGTATTCTAACACGTGAAGCCCTAATTTTATTCTGTAGAAATTATCTATTCTGTGTGCATTGATACTATAGGTGGTTATAAAGCACATAGTTTACAGGGTTCAGTTTAAAACTGGAGACACATTATTCCAGTAATGCCCACAGTTCTATATGGTGTGTATATTACTAGCTGTTTCAGCAGAGACAAAAGAAGAGAAGGTTTTAGAAGAACTATTCTTGTTTAAATCCATCTGGGTTAGCTTAGAGTGCAGCATAGACATACTAGTATATGGCTTGCATTGTATGATAAAAGCTGAGAATCCTGTTAGATAAACACTGAAAATAATTCATTTTGACTCTACATTTCTAAGCTTCAACTGTTTTTCAATGTACACATTTTTTTCTACTTAGTTATTCTGAGCAGTACTCACTGGAAATACACAATACTTACATATTTTTCAGACCTATGATGAAATAGTAAATTAAATGTTTCCTGTCATTCCAACCAAAGTCAATGAGAGTTCTGCAATGGAATTATGTGGACACAAGACTGGGATCTTAAATTTTAAATGCAACAGAGAGCTAGAACAGAGTTTATTATCTTTATCAAGAGAATCTATAACTTCTTCTACCTAATTTAGGAAATAAATGTATTATATATGGCACAAAAAAATTTTTTCTAAAACCTTGCTCTAGTACCACTTCAGTATTACATAAATTATTTATACATTTAATTTGTCTGCACCCAAATCAGAACATCCAGCTTAGTGAAATGACATGGGGTTTTGGCCTGTAAATGATTAAAAAAAGAGAGTAACTTAAAGTAGTGTGGTCAATTATCATGTACGCGCTGGCCCTCAGGAGCTAACTGCCCATAGGTGCACTTCTCGCTTGCCCCCGTTGTTCGTATGCTTGGTGTAAGCCACCACTAATGGCATTGCTTTGGAACTGGGATATATGGAGAGCGTCCCCAGATGGTTACTAGGGCTCAGGAGATGAAAGCACAATACTTTCAAGTGTGCACCCTGAGTGAATAAAAAGATCTTTCCCCTGACGAGAAGTTTTGACCACATTCTACATTAGTTCCTCATGCACAAATGAAAAACTTTTTACAGTATCAGCAAGATCCCATTTTTCTGAGGTTCTGTATGTGTCTGTACTATAGTAATCCAGTGTAACTGGGTATTACTTTACTGTTTCTGTTTTATTGTAGCAACCTGTAACAGCAAGGTTAGATTGGTAGGAATGAGGCACAAATGGTGATGTGCCTGTGTGCCTGGGCATTTGTGTGCGTGAGCGAGACAGAGAAAAGAAACACCCGAAGAGACAGCAGAGCAACAGGTTGTAAAGATCGCTGCTCCCAGTCGATCAAACTGGGGAACGTGGTGTTCCAGTTAAGCCTCAAAGACCCACACTCGGATATGCCCACCGTGCAAACAGTCCTTAGTTAGCAGATGACTCTGCTCCTCAGCCACGCTGGGGTGGCTTCAGGGTTGCAGCATATCACGTCCACCAGCCCTTCCAGCAGCAGGGAGAGAACAGCAGTTCACCTCTGTAAAAGCCATGTCCAAAAGTTAGCTCAGCATTGCTGATTAAGGAGAAGCAGAGACGTGATGAAAAGAAAGCTGGCGTCGCATGTCCCCGGTGTTGCACACAAATGGTCCTGGCCAGAGGACCACACACATCGTGGTGCTTCTGCATGTGCAGGCATCGAGCTGTGAGTGAACAAAATTGATGGAGAGTGGGTGTGAGAGTGTCAAATCAACTTGTTTAGAGTTGTAAAATCACTGCCTCTTCACACTCACACTTGTGTTTGGTTATCCTGATTTCCCCCTGCTATAGCAGCAGTCTTCTTCAAATCTTCCATTTTCTCTTTTACAGGATTGTGGTGCCTTTCGTGAAAACCTGTCTCATGGTTTTGCCTTCAGTGCAAACTATATGGAAGAGCCTGACAGATGTTTTCGTCGTACCATTCTTTCAGAGCATGGGCCGATGCTTTGCCATGGTTAATATACGCCTGGACCAAGAGTGAATGTCAGGGATGCAACACCGCTGTAGTTGTAGCTGGTGTTATACCTCTTTGCTAACCTAACATACGAGCACTTACCGTTCATTCCAAACTGTTCAGTAACAATGGCTGGTTTAAGTGGGAACATGCTATTTTTTTCTAAAACTCATTTATTATCAGGGAGATCAGTTTAGGAATAAGTAGGCAGTTTTCATAGCTCGCTATTTTAACAACAGAGCGAACGCAGAGTATGTTGGCAACACTTTATTTTAATGGTACTTTGATTGTTAGATTGCAGGAGAATTCTCGTGGAGGTTTAACAGCCACCACAGTGATAACAATTAGCATTATTACTATAAATATTTCGATGAGTAGGCTGCAATACCTTAAATGAAACTGATCTCTAGGGTTTCACATTGACTTTACTGCAGTTCTACCAGGGATCATTTTTGGCCCTCACTATGCAGAATGATAAACCCAGACCTTTATTATCAGCAGTTAAAATGAACGTGACTCATTGCATAAGCATACAGAGAAAGGAACTGTTGTGTGATTCTCCTATACTGGGGGGGGGAAGCTCCCTAGAAATTTATCCCTTAAAATAAGGTGTTAGCTAATGATTTGGAACATCAGCTAATCTGTATATTTTATTTAATGAGAGGTTAACTTTGCTGTATATTTTGTACCTTTGTAAATGGCATTTGGTCGGTTTTCTTTGAAGCATTATTTCTATAGTATTTGAATTCTAACCAGCTTACTAGGCAGAGTAAGACACTGCAAAAAATAACTTCAGATAACTAAAACTGCAATTTCTAAATTATGTAGATTTTAAGTGTTGCTGTGCAATTCTGGTATATTATATATGGTTGCGTGTGAAAGCAAAGATTCTAAGTGTTTTCATACAAGACTATGCAAAAGAGTTGGAAATATCTGAGAAATGGTTTTTATTAAAAATGGGGTGTACTAAATGCAACCATGCCTATTTCTGTGTATTATCTGTGTGAACATTGTGATATTTAAAATGATAGACACTATGCTGGCACTTTAACTAGGTAGCAAGCTCTTTTAGAAGGCAAGTGAGTGTAACTGGTATCCTTGTCTAATTCTCCTCGCCTATTGACTTGACTCTCCATGTTGCCTATTTACTACTTTAAAGCCTAACCCATAAAAAAGCCCTTCTTCCTTCTGCAGCTAATATGGCTTTGTAAACCAGAATAACAGAACGTATGCAGAGGTACATTAAAATTACGTTAGCCTTCTGATGGGCTTATGCTGCTGTTTTCTTTAAATACAGATGATAAGTTGCAATTGTAAAATGTTTGTATGATTTAGAATGTTATTTTCTAAAATGATGTCACAGATTTCTTATCAAACAAGAGGTATATAATAAAATAATGAAACATCAACTTTTTTCTATTTTAACTCCATTCTTTCAGGTTTTTCCACTTTTTAAAAAGCTCTTAAAATGCCAAGCAGCATAGAATACTATGCAGTTGTCCAAAATGTGGGAGAGGGAAAAGAAATGGATGAGCATCAATATGGTTCCACTATTATCAACTGCATTGAACTGATTTATAGTAGAAAATGATGTATCTCTGTGTGTAATTAAGCCCATACACAATGATTGCTTTCTCTTAAGCAGGTCTGTCAGTGCCGAATTTTGGCTGCATTAAAAAAACCCGCTTAATTCTTTTTATGGGCTCATGCTTTATTTACGGATGAGCTGCAGAATTTTCCTTTTCTTGCTTATTGGCCTACAGAAGCTAGCTGACACTGTATATTCTTTGTATATTAAGAACATCTTTCTACATTAAAACATTTTTACCATTTGTGCCATTTAGAGAGAGATTCATATGGCTTTTGAAAACTGGATCTTAATGAGTAGTGTCCTTAGAAACTTCTCTGGAGTGTTTTTCTTCTGCAAGAAATTAGCCTGCTGTTCAGATGTGCTCTTCAAAATACCTTTGTTATGTTAAAAACAGAAATATCTCTTTTGAAAATAAAAATCAGTCAGGCTAGGCTTGAAATCTTTTCAGAGTTATTTTCTTTTACAACGTCCAAGGATTTTTACAAAGATATTTTCCACAGAAAAGTGCCCCCTTGATGAATTCATTAAAAAAAAAAAAAAAAAATCAATCAGTACTAGTCCTGGTGTCTACAAGGAGCCCTATAAAAGCCTACGCTTTGAGAAAACTCAGGTCTGGATCCAAATTTTGAGAATGAGGCCATTCCCTAAAGAAAACTGTATCATTTTAGGTCATGCACTCCTGGAGATATGCAGTCTTGAATAGCTTACTGAAGTCATCTAGCTCTAGCTACCACAATCAAGTAGAATGCCTTGGCTTGTTCTTAATTTGATTTAGACCTCTCATTAATTAGTTCTTTTCACCATTTCTCCAGCTGTTAGAAGACTCAAGCAAGCTTGTAATTAAGTAATTAAAGCTCTTGGTTTCTTACATATTTTATAGCAGTATCTTTCTCTGGAGCAGATGAGCTTTTACTATAAGAAAATACCAAATGCAGTGTTAAGCTTAGGGTAAAATACTAGATGCTTGACAAATACACTTACTTCATCCATGAAAGGAGTGGTAGGAAGTGTGAATATACACAGACTCCCCAATACTTAGGTTTGAATCTGCCCCAGGCAACTCTGGCTGGCAAGTATTCTCTGGATTTTATGGATTTGACAGGTCTGACAGACATCCCAAAGCTCTGCCACTACTGATACTGTCGATAGCTGACAGCACTGTTGGACAAGAGGGACTGACCAGGCACTGGCACTGGACTGAGATGTTCAATAGAGGAGTAGGTTCCTCAAGTTCAGCTTCTCCAAATCTTTTGAAATGTGGACAAACCATCCCAGCTGATCCTTTAACAGCAACTTACATACGAGAATTTAGGCAAGAAGAGGAGTCTAGAAACTTAGTCTCATTGTCCGCAACAAATGTAGGAAAATTTACACCTGATTCAGTTCATCTACTTTGATGCATCTTCTTCCCCTCTGTGGACAGGGAAGATGTTATTGCTCTTAACAACAGTAGACTTTTCATCATCATCGTAGAGTTATGAGGATAAATAAAAAGTGTGAGATGTTCCAATTCCAGCCTGCCTCTTGTTACTGCAGACCTTAGATTTATAATCATGAGCTGAAAATTCATTTTTTTCACACAAAGCGTCTCGTTTTTCATGAAGATCACAACTAACATACAGAACTAACCCCGGATTTGTGGTTATGGACTTCTTTCTTTTAATACACAAAGAAGTCTAACCTGCCTTCTTATGAGATCTGTTTAATAAAATCCTTCTAATCTGACTCTAGAACTTTTATATTTGTATCTTACCTTTTGCCACCCTACTTGTTGACCATATAAATTGGAAAAAATTCTTAACAGACACTTGGATGTATTAGTAGATAAGGAGCCTTTTCCCACCTATCCAAAAAGCTCACTTAGGCATACACTGACTGAAAAGTTCAGAGCATCCCTGCAGCTCTGGGACCTCAGACCACACACTCATATTTAGTGGAAGCCAAAGAATGGTAAGTCCATTATTTTTACAGGGTGTGATCATTCCCCCACCTGCAGAGATAAAACTATTGCTGTTAAGCCGTATTAAGTCTCTTTGAAAAATACATGGAAAAATACATATGTGTTGGGTTTTTTTAAATAATCAAATGGAACAAGGTCAAACACCAGACACTCTACCGGTGTTGTCTGTTAGTACACTGTGCTCATGAGAATTAGAGCCAAAGACCAGCAGCTATGCCTTAAAAACTGAGGTGCTTTCTTCATGCAGGGATGTACAACTGAGGGGAGAATCAATAAAGGCTAATTTTAGCCTGGGGACACTTATCTTCCTAAGTTTATTGCAAAAAAAAGAAAATCTCTTCTGTAAAGCCAATTCAGAGGAGCTAAGATAGGTTCCTGCTCTGAATCATCCTCCAGAGAAGACTCTCGGCACTGATTAATGCAAAATGTTTGGCTTGGCTTGGTTTGACTCCTTTCTTCTGCTGCATAAGAAGTTATATTTGCTACAGAAATTGGGCAGGCCTATGGATGCAACTAGAGCTTCATGTAAGTAGTGGGGCAGGTTCTTCTCTGCACGCTTCTCTCACAACTTGAGGCCACGGTTGAGGTTCACCTGTGTTAGGTGTTCAGTTTTGTCTGTCGCCTGGCTTCCCCCTCCAACTGCAAGCAGGAGAAAGAAGGACCTCTTCACAAGGCACTGAATCAGATCCTACTTCAGACACATATATGGAATAAAATTGAGAGATTCACACTTTTATTTCAAACTTTGAGGAAAGCTTTTCTAGTTTTCCAACTGCCTCAGTTTAATAACAGCTGCTTTTTGACCCCATGTGCCTACCTCACCTTGCTTTTTACTTTATACTATCACAGCTATCACAATGCTACAACTATAAGCTTAGGCAGCAAAGCTTGGTGACAAAAAGTCCCATCCTACGTAAGCCTCAAGGAGTGGGTGTTTAAGTCCCATTAATGAGACTAGTTCTCATTTCTATATATTTCTATAAGACACCTGAACAATTAATAATATGCTAGAACTGGCAGAATGGTACAGAATAGTGTTGACATTGATCAGCGTTCATGGTCCAGCTCAGTATTTGTCAAGGAATTTGATATTGAAAAAGGCTGAGAAAACAGTGACTTGATTTGCGCAAGGTCTGGCAGAATTAAAGCTTTTGCTCTATTTGCCTCTCCAGACAAGATAGTTACAAGCTATCTTGATCGAGACCTACAGGGACTAGCTCTAACAAAAGATGTACACACCTACCGCAGGATTGAGATGAGAGTCAGGCATTTAAATCCAAAATCATAATCCCTGCCCAGCTGCCACCCAACCAGGAACATGTCTAAACTCAGAAGGCATCTCCCTTTCACGTAACCTCCCTTCAGTACCTACAGTTTTACTTTGGTCGTGCCCAGAACTGCCCTTGTTTGAGCAACGTGCCATCTCACTTGCATCTAAGCCCGGTCAGAATCGCAAAAGAAGGGAAGAGATTGGCT